TTTTACTCCTTGCCAAACAGATGCTCAGGCCCTAAACTTCTAACTGGAATTGACTGAGCCCAATCTGTATTCGATTTGGCTCCTGTGTTGTTAACCTCTTTATTAGAAACCACCAATCTCAGAGTTATAGATTAAGACATAGCTACCGAGCACAAACTCTGATGACCACCCAGATCTTCCTAGCAGATTAGGGACAACATACTCTTGCTAATAACTAAAATATCTGACCATCTCCTGTCTCCAGATCCATTCGGCGAACTGTACAGGGACTGCACCAAATGTACTGTTCTGAAAGCACATTATCACTACCCAAATAACTGTCTTTCCAGTTTCCACCTGCCAGCAAACATCTGAAACTGTCGAACAGGATCTAGACAAACGAGGAGCGATGTGGTTATTTAATGTGGGAAATCAAACAGTGCCTTTCACGCAGATGTCCTGGCAAGGCTAAAACCATTGAACCCATAGCACAATATTCAAAACCCAGCATGAAGGGCAACATTCATCCACATTACTTTAGCATATTCTGGATGCCTTGTGAGAAGAAAAAGTAGAAAACAAGATCATTTTAAGCATAATTTCCCAAAGCCCATCAATTAGACACCTGCAGTGGGACTGAGAGCACACAGTGACTCTTTCCCTGGACAGGACATAATTTCACCGCAGTGATATTAGAAAAGGGACAGCTTAGATGTTGAATTACATTTTGGCAGGATGTGTTTCAGAGGAGGAAACTGGACTGCTTGGAGAAAACCCACTCAGGCATGAAGAAAACGTGCAAGCTCCACACAGACAGGCTGGCAAGGCTGGACTCAGGAACCCAGGAATGTAGAGCTGTAAGGGAGTCAAACCCAGCACCAAGGCTTACATTCAACTCTTTAAAAACTTACGTTTTAATGGGCTTGACAGCAACCTCGAGGCTCGTCTTCAGGTCCAAAGGATACGCGCAGGAAAATGGGATGCTGACTCTTGGAACCAAGAAGACATTGCCCACCATCTTCCCTTGGATGCTTAAGGCGTTTGTGTAGATGGCATGAGTGCCGTTTGTCTGAAATGAGAGGGGGAACAAAACAATTCACCAAAGATCACAGAGGCGGTTCAGGCTTGCCCTTAACCGAGATCTGAGACTCTCCTCTGTCTGCGCCTGCACAAGAGTTCAGAACGGACTGGGAGGAGTGCTCTGGGTCCTCACCGTCAGGTTGGTTCCACACTCGCCCTCCCTGCGGCCCATCGTCAGCCATGCCATCCCACCCTGCTCCCGGTGGCCCCGACAGCTGCTGTTCGCCAGGTGTGCAGACGAGGTGTTCAGGCCCCTGGCCTCTAACTGGCATTTCATGAGGCCAATCTGTATGAGATT